CTGTGTATGAATAACACCAGGAACAGAACAGGAATGAAAGAGAGGCTGACAATGTACTAGATTCACCCACAATCCAGTCTGCCCCTGGATTTAAGGGATGTTTTTCTGTTTTTCTTTGAGTGTCTCTCACTCTCAGTATTTTCCCTCTGAGGCATGTGCTCTGTGGCCCAGCAGGAGACTTTGCTGGGGCTGGAATTATGGGGAATTAAAGGGATCTCAACTTTCCTTTCACCCAATTCCCTTATTTAACAGATAAAGAAATGGTCCTTTCTTCACCTGTGCTTTGCACTTTCCATTTCACTCAGTCTTCACTCACTACAGCTGCTGGGCCAGGAAACTAACGCCTGGGAGGTGGAGCCATTTTCCTGAGGCCCCGTGGGTGGTTAGTAGCAGGGCCAGGGATGAACCCCAGGTGCCCTGACTCCAGCTAGAGTCTTCACCTTCATCAGGGGTCCCTCAACACAGGTCTACAGACTCATGCCGGTGACTTACAGTATTTTCCTTCATCTGTCACAAAATATGAAGTAAGTAACTAAGTCCACACTAGCTTACCAACTTCCTTTCTTGGAAAATGCCATTGTTACAGGGAGATGGTGTCCTTCCTAAATATTTAATATTTAAAGTTCCCTTCTTTGTGAAATCCTGGTAGGCATGGCAAATAAAACACTGGCCATGACCTGACAGTCTCGATGTTTCTAAAGATTGAAAATCCCAAAGGCTGGAACCATAGCACTCTGGGTACCGCTTATATTGTTGCCAACGTTGTCAGCAAAGTCGAGCAGGAGATTCCTGCAAACACTGACTCATCATCTTGTCAAGTGCCCGTCATCACTCAACCGCCCAGAACTGGCCAGGGTTAGACCCAGCTTTCGTGGAGCTGAAAGTCCCTGCATGCTTCATTCTGAGGAACTTGCTCAATCCCGGGGTGGTGAGGGTGTCTGTGAGAAGGGGAGCATTGGCACGAGCATCTAGGGTTTAGGAAGTAAATGGGCTCCGTGTTTGACCATCCCCTTTCATCTCCGAGGTGCCAGATAGAAACACGTTTGCAAAGAACTGAGGATATACCCAGCATGCCCAGTGCTGCTCTCTAGCCCCAGGTGAAGTACCCCAGAAAGACAGGCTGCTGTGGAGCACCCCAGCCCATTCCAGGACCTTCACTTAATCACTGTGTGATCTTGAGCGGATAACTTGAGCTCTGCAGTATAATTGCAATGATAAAACTCTATAATGTGGACTAAGTTCCTAATTTAGGGCTGATACATGCTTAAAAGTCACTGTTCTATCTCCTTTTCACAAATGTTCTCTTGCTACTTTGCCTCTAGTGCAAAACTGTGAACTGTCCTGTCTTGGGTGACCTCGAGTCTATACTCGTGTGTGCTTGTGTTCTTCCAGTCAGGGAAAGGCTGTTTGGTACCCCAATTCACATGGGTTGATGCACAGTTTCTGAGCAGAGATTAATAGTTAAGCAAAGGGAAAATCCTGGCCATAGCATCTCAAACCCCATGGGCACCCAGCTGGGAGACATTGAGGTTCCAGCCTTCCTGACAAACAGCTGGTGGCCCCAGCTCCCCACCCAGGCAGGAGGCTGGTCCAGGCACCACAGCCTCTGCTGTCACTGCCCATCTTTCTCCCACGCTGTGCACTGGCGGTTACATCTGACACCTGGGATGTCACAGTCTGACATATGAGGCTACAGGGGTCAAGTAGGGCAGGGTTAGGGGCAAGAACTTAGCTTTCACAGCCAGGTACATGTCAAAGTAAATTCCACTCATGATTGGGAGTCAAGCTTGGTCAGGGAACTGATTTGGATCAGAGCAATCTGCTGAAGTCAAATGATAATGTTTGTGTGGCTGGGACTTCTCCGACAGGACATACTCCCTGGCAGGTGCCAGGATCCAGGACAAGGCTACAGGGATAAGGGTGGGTGGGAGGCAAGTGATGCTGCTTCGTCTTCCTCTGCCTTGTCTTCAAATTTGTCACTAGCTTGTGCTTGCTGACATTTGAGCAGATTATACTTATGCAAATAGGCTATTTTGCTTTATTTTGAGTTTCCGACATGCACAGAGACTACTAACTGTCACAAAGGTTTCTTTCCACATTGGTGAAAAACAGCACGGTCGCTGGCCCAGCTGCAAGGGAGAGGCCTGGCCGGGGATGAAGAGTGTTTAATATTGATGTAAGTCCTGAATAAATGAGGACGCATGAGGCTGTGTTAGTGTTCAGTAGCATGGACTTTGAATTCAGACAGATTTGAATCTGATTTTGGCTCTGGTATTAGCTGCATGTCTGTGGGCAATGTGATTTAAACATCCTAAACATCTTGTTCCTCAGTTGTTATACCTGTAAAATGGTGATAAAATAAGATACACTCCACGGGAGAATTTTGAAGTTTAAATGAAAATGCATGCAAAGCAGTTTGCAAAAGGTCTTGAAAGAATATGATCTGGGTGTATTGTATCACCACATTAGTGATTTCTTTTGACATCAGTAAAAATTAGGATAATAAGAGAATTCCAAAAGAAAGAGAGAAAGAGGAGGTCCTTGGCTGTGGATTGGAAGAAACACTTGGGAGAAGTAACTTTTTCCTCTTGGGGATATTTCCGGTGGAATGTTCTACCCTAGGAATTTCTTTAGTAAGTTCTACGAGGCCTATTGGAACTCTTATAGGAATGCAATTTTGTTGTTGGAAACAAAGGAGAAGGCAGAAGGAAAACCAACTATGAGCCAGCCACATAGATTAGTAAGAGGGAATATAATTGTGATTGAAGGAAAATCAGATGCTTGCTTTCTTCAAATATGTGTAGAAGAGTTACAGTGAATGTTTGACTGAAAAGGTTACCTTTATGTCTCTGTCTGACTGTGAAGTGTGTGTGTGTTGGGGCAAGGAGGGCAGTGGGGAAGGGGAAACAGTTGGGAAAAGTGGTCAATCAGGGACTTTCACAAATGTCCTTCTTTGTCTCTGGAGGACACCCAGAAGAAGCAGCTGACCTCAGGCTGTTGCCCCAAGCTGATGAAAGGTAGGCAGTGTTAGCAGTTTGCCATGAACCCAAAACAAGAGACAAAACTAGTAAACACTGGGGGTACCAAGGCTGAGGAGAACAAACTCAGAGTAAAGAACAGGTCTGCTATTTAGCAGCACAGCGAGATTCTAAGATGGATGCTATAAAGTGTCAACCTGATTTTTTTTTTTAAGTAAGATTGTATTATGGACATATCTGAATTTGTCCACAAGTACAGAACACAACCTTACCCATCACCCAGTTTCAACAACTATGATTTTTTCCCATATGTGCTTCATATTTTACCCCCTTCAAATTTTGCTCAAGTAAAATGCATTGCTAAATACTTCGGCATCCACTTTAAATCATTTTTTACACAATCACAATGTGATTTTCAATATTTCCCAGATTTAATATGTTTTCATGAAGAGTATCCACTCGTACAACTGCTCATTAAATAACACAACTAAGTTCAAAAGCTCAAAAATAGACATGAGTGAGTATAGGTAAGAAGATAATATATGATAAAGGGATGATAGAAAGACTGGTTTATTCACTGTTGGACTAAATTAGTTAGTCCTTCTTTGGAAAAGGTGAATTTCAGATCAACTAAAATTTCAGGAAAAATACCTAGACAGCATCAAAGGTAGCAAAGAATATACTTGGCTACCTAAAAAGTTCCTTTTTCCCTCCTTCCATCCCAAAATAAATAACACCAAAACTAAATAAATTGCATGTGCATTTTAAATAAATATTAAAATTTCAGGAAGAAAGCACTCAACCTATATAGCAAACAAAATTTTAAGACCTTTAGCATAGGAGAGGATATAAAACCAGCAAAATCTTGATTCTGTGAAAGAAAAGTAGAAGAGGCCCTCTGCTTTTATTCATGGACATTTCACTCTTAGTCTGTCCATTTTCTGCTCTCCCTCCTTCACTCCAAGTCCACAGGGAGACCCTCAGTGAGGAAGTTTGGGGATACTCCTCAATTACTGATGCTCTAAGAGGTGTTTTTGCCTTCTCTGTGTCCTCTCACCTATCTCCAGCTAAATATTATTAGGTGGATTTGTCTTATACTTTGTGATTTGAATTTTGTAGAGTTTTCTTGTTTCATTAAAGAGGAAATTTTCTCTTATCTTTTAAAAAATTAATTGCAATGGGTTAGTGAATTTCAACGGAGAGTTCAATGTAAATATAACTACTCTACCATCTTTCAACTGTCCTGTAGGTCTCCAGGTGATTATGCCAAGTGAGACAAGTCAGAAAATGAAAGACAGTTACCTGATGGTGTCACTCTTTTGTGGAATACAAATAAGAGAAGAAAACAAACTAGCAAAGCAAGAATAATTCTTAGCCCTGTGAAAATAATTCTTAGACTCTGCTGATTACCAGAGCAGGTCGGGGAGGGAAGGTGACAGCATGTGCACATGAGGAGGGGTGAATTTGCACTCCCAAAATTATATAGTTAAATAAACAAGTGGCAAATCAATAAGATTTGAGAGGGAGAAAAGTCTACATTCTTGATAATGTTTTGCAACACTTAAAATTCAATGGGACTTTAGTTAAGCCAATGTGTTATCATATATTCAAAAAATTATACTGGCACAATATAACAATGAGAAATTCCTGCATTTTCTCCTACTAAAATAAGACATAGTCGAAAATTTTTTAGATGAATAAAGATCTGCTGGGAAGGAAGAAAAGTGTGTGCATCAAGAGTTTACATTGGCTTTTTTTTTTTTTTTTAAACTTTTTTTTTTTATTTTTTTTATGTTATTTATACAAGCACTGGGTACAGTCAGAAGCGTGGGAGGGTGAGAGAATTCACCAGAGCCAGAGCGGGGAGCAGAGCAGGCAGAAGGACCGAAGCACACTGCTGAGGGGAGCAGCGGGCGGCAGGAGAGGTCTGCGCGCCATGTGGGACCCTCCTCCGGTGGCCGGGGAGCAGCCGGGGATCGAACTGGCACTGCAGAGGCTGCGGGCAGCTTCGCAACCCAGCGCTCATCCGCTGCGCCACTGGGGAGGCCCCTTACATTGGCTTTTTAGGGGAGAGGCAGGTTGGTGTGATCAGGGATCTGTGTAACCTCCACAAATGTTCATTTTTTTTTTTTACATTGTTCATTCTTCATGCAACCTCTTGAGTGAAGTTTAGTAACTGACCAAGTCAAACAGTGTCCTCCCTTTGAAAAAAGTCTGGATGGAAAAATAAAAAAGCAGTAATTGTGTCATTGTGGATGAATGGCATCTTTGACATCCCAAATTTAGCCGAATGTCATTAGGTTGGATTTGGATAGCTGAATACTGCTGATATCTGTGCCCTTCAGCAAATTCTATATTTGATTCTCCCATCCCAAGGGCTTTTGTGAAACAAGGAGTATCGTATCAGGAACAGAGATGCAGTCAGCCTCCCAGTCATAATGGTGGAATAAATGGCCATGCATATAACACCTGGCAATGAAAAGGCCAGTGGGTGGAAGGAGGATGGGGCACAATTACCTTTTTCACCATTTATTCACTGCTTCTCAGTATATTTGCTGGCTGAACTTATATTATTTATTCCTTATAAAATCTCAGAAGGTAGCCTTGTTTTTCAGATATTAAGCACAGTGAATGAACATTTGGAGTTATGTAATTCTTGTTTTTCTAGGAATGGATGGATGGATGCATGGATGGACAGACAGAGACAGAGAGGCAGACAAGAGAGAAAAACAATAAAATCTGTCATATTAAAGAGTCTACTTTCAACTTAGTACATCTGCAAAATAATGTCCATTGTTCTTTACAATGATGCAGCACAGACAAAGACAAAAGCAGAGAATGTTAAAGAGTAGTAATTGCTGTCAGATCAATAGAGAATAACTATACAACTAGAGTTTGCCAATTATAAGACAGAACTGGCTTTGTTATTCCTGAACTCTTCTGCCTCAAGAATTAAGGTACCCAAGCTAAGAATTTGGGCATCAACTTCATTCATTCTTTACCCATCCCACACCCATGCTATTGCCAAATCTTATCAGTTGGTAACTATAAATAGTGATGGAATCTATTGTTGTCTGTCCTTCTTCATTACCCCCTCTCTGTCAGACCCTGCTCTAATTCCTCATAGTTTCCCAGGTTCATTTCCCAGGTTCATTCTTATCTAACCCATTGTCCACACTGCCACCCTCTAGTGTTCATTTGAAAATGAAGATTTGATGCCATCTCTCCTTCTTAAAAGCCTTCCATGACTCCCTCTACTTCAGGAGAAATTCCAAATTGACCAACATGGGTTAGCTTTTTCCAGTCTGGGGCCTTGTCTTACCTGTCAACACTATTCCAGCCTCAGTCCACTGAGACACCTGGGATGATTCACATGCTTGCCTGTTTCCAACTATCCAAATTGTCTCCATTCATTCTCTCATTACCCTACTTGTTTGCTGAACTTTCTCCTTTCCCTCAAGAGCCAACACAAAGCCATAGGCCTCAGAAGGCCATTTTTAACCCCCCACCCATCCAAACATTTCTCCACTCACTGTACAAGGTTCTTTTATTGTATTCTTCAAGTATGTTTGTAATCATCTATTTACTTGTCTCTTTCCTCTTTCCTCTTTCACATTAAATTGAGCCCATTGCTAATGAATTTCAAATAGATGACCTACAATATATTTCAAGGATTCAGCATAGGAGAATTAAGAGTTAAGTGAAAGGGTAAAATAAAAACAGACCAGTAGGTCTCTTTTACCTTTGAGTGTATGAATTCCTCTGGTGCCAAGACCTCATAAGATGCTGCAGTTCCTTATAAATAAGAAGAGAAATAACATGATATCATAATTCCCATCATTAAAAATATCTCTATTCTTGGGCCTCCCTGGTGCTCCCCACTGTCTCTGGTGAATCCTCTCACCCCATCTCTGGTCTGTACCCCAGTTCTTGTATGCATAAGTAATCTTTAAAAAAATCTCTATTTTTCATGACTTTAAAATTTATTAGCCACCAATAGACTATGTATGACAAATACTGAGCATGTCACTGTCCTCACCATGCAATACTTTGGCCCAACTACACACATGAAGGAAGGAAACATTTCCTCAGGACACCCCGGCCAGGTAACTGGGAAGCTCAGTCCCACCCTATTCTCCCAAAATTCACTCTACCCAGGACTCTGCCTTCTAACACATAGGAGTGGGATTAGAACATGGACTTTGGAGGAATATAGTTCTGGGTTCGAATTCAAATCTACCACTTACAACTGTGAAAAGTTGCAAAATTGACCTGTTATTGAATATGATTTTCCTCATGCAAAAATGGTGTTGAAGGATCAAACAAAATATTGTACAAGTAGTTCACAAAAATTTTGGTACATAAGAAGCATTCATAGAATTGTTGATGTGATTAGTATAAAAGAGAAAATGGAGGAAATCATTTCCCAGATGTTAGGTTCTCATGCTCATAGTCAAAGAGGACAATGATTTTTTTTAATAAAAATGTATTTTTTATTGACTTAATGTTGGTTTGTATCACTATTTATGAATCAGGACAATATTTTTAATGATCTTTTGAACATGACACCCCAGCTTTCAGGTGGAGCTCACATTGTACTCTGTCCAGAGTTGAGTGTAGTATGTTTTCTATAGCCCCTGGTGGTGGTGATGTTATCAGTATTGGAATTCAGGTCTCTGAAGTGTCAGACAATTCTGAGACTCACTGAGCAAATTCTTCTTAAATGACAATGACCAAGGTAGAGGCATCTAGGGAAGGAAGAAGAGAGATAGGCACAGGTGCTACTCATAATTCCAACCCCTAGGAAATAAAGATGTTGGGATCTCAGTGAACATATTTAAGTAATAAGCAGTGATGGGAGAGAAAAATTGACAGCCTATGATGTGTAACATGTGACTTTCCAGTGACCCAAAGACTGGGTTTGTTCTAAACAGGAAGCATTTGCATGGAGACTTTGGGGGCAGTTTCCAAAGCAAGTGCTCACATCCCACTAGCAAAGGCAAGTGGCCAGAGAGAATAAAATTATTCAAAGGATCAGAGCCTCCCTGGGATGTTAAATTGACAATATATTATTAAACTTCCCTTGAGCCTTTGCCACACCCATTCTAACATGGAAAATATCCTTGATCAAAGAAAAGCAATCTCTAACATTTTGAACTTGCCAAACAAGTAAATTAAAGGCTTGTTACACGAAAAGCTGCCTTTGCTTTAAAGAAGGATTCACTGAATTTTGCTTCTTTGAGTTGCTTATTGGTCTGGTTTTTATAGAACGAACTTACCTAATATACTTACAATATAAGGCAGTATGTATTACATGAAAATGTACACACTCTGCCCCAGCAGCCCCTCCTTGGGAACTGTAGACCTTGGAAATTAAAACCCCAATATGTATGATCCCCAGAGGGGTGTGTGTGGCAGCAGTATAGTTGCCAAATGTTGGCAGTAGCTTGGATGGCAACAAAAAGAAGTTAAAATAGGAATATCAGACGTGGGACATTATGTAGCTATTACAAAGAATAAACATGATTTATGAGTATTGCCATGAGATATGTTCAACATATTTCTAAAAGTGACTTTCAGAGTAAATGTAAAAGATATTAGCAATGAGAGGTGGTATGATACTGCTAATACTGAGTATTTTAGGATATTGGGATGGGAAGTGGTGAGATGTTGATTTAAACATTTCATCACACTTCTCTTTGGCTTGTAACAAAAATTCTAGATTATGCATATAATTATCAAAACTTAAGTAAATATGTGTGTGCATACATATAATATTTTTATATATTTCAAACTATAATGAGATTAGGCAAACTTGTAGTTAGAGCCGAAAAGCAGAGATAGGGCAAAATTAAACATGTTGAATGTGTACTTCTTTTTAAAGATTAATTTATTTATGCATACAAGAGCTGGGGTACAGGCCAGAGGAGTGGGGGGTGAGAGGATTCAGAGACAGAGTAGGGAACAGAACAGGCAGGCTGACTTAAATACACTGTTGAGGGGAGCAGAGGGCAAGTCAGGAGAGGTCTGCTGCGCCATGTGCGTTGCCCCCTGGCTGGCAGGGGATCGAACTCATGTTGCAGTGGCTGCGGATTGCTTCATAGGTTGCGTCTTAACCCCTTGCACCACTAGGGAGGCCCCTTGAATGTGTTCTTTGAATCAATGTGTGGTATATGTAATTTCATTTAATCCACACGAATTGATAAAATAAATATTAGTAGTCCCATTTTATGAATGAGAAACTGAAGTCCAGATAAACCAAATGACTTGCTCAAGTTACACAGATAGTAAGTGGTTCAGGCAGGAATAACCCAAATCTGTCTGTCTTCAAAGGTCATAACTTCAAAGATCATAACTTTACACAAACCTAATTTATAAAGTAATTTCTTCAAGAAGTATAGCTCTCTTGCTACGTAGCATATACAATCATAACTAAATAAATAGTATTCATGTCTTGTTTGTTGAATTCTATCTCTAAAGAAGGAATTCACTGAAAGTAGCAATTCTAAGGACAGCTTTTCTCACACCTTGCATTAAACCTTCCTTTCTCTATCTAATGAAGAAGAGACATTTATTAATTTGTGTTGTCTCTATGAAATCATTTTAGAATAATATCATATTCATGCAAATGAAAAAGTTCATAGGAAAGAAAATATAGTAACATGTCTGAGGAAAAAAATACCACCCACTGTTAGGAGATGTGATAGATGAAGCATATTCTTGGCTAAAGGATCATAGTCCATGCTTCAACTTTCTTAGCTATAAAAACACAAACAAAATATAGTGTTCCTTGAGCATGTCATGAATCCTAGACATATAGAAATAATTTCCACTGGTGGAACTTGCATAATCATGCCCCTCTTTCCCACCTTTTCATGGGAACTCAAAGTATTCCTTTTAGTTATAAATAAGATTTTTAATCAATGCTTTTACACTTTGAGGTGTCAAAAGGTCCAATCTAGTCTAATTAAAACTCAAATGCATTCTAGAACTTCTTTCTCTTGCTCATGACTTATTTAAGCACCTACCATGGGGTAGGGCCATGTTGTCTTTCATTCCTTTTCTACTACCTCCCCACTCTGTTACATGGATGTCCAGAGATCCAAACAGAGGGGATGGGAATGGATGAAGAGGGGAAGACATTCATGCCTCTGGTAGCTCTATAACCCTCTCTTCTTTAATCCCAGCTGCTTACTCCATAGCATTTAATCCTGAAGAAGACTTGACCTCTTGGGCCACCCTCTTGTATGATGACTAGAGTTCAGGGACTTCCCACTTGGACATAGGAAATTCACTGCTCCTTGCCAGAGCAAAGGGTGGTAATGTAAGTGACTGTTTACTGATCTCTTTGCCTTACCCTTGTGCATGGCCTTAGCCAGTCTCCAGCTGTCTGAATTCTAATGGAGAACAGACACCAGGCATGAGTTGCACATAGAGCCTCAAAGAAGCCTTCCAAGAACCTTTTCACTCCATCCCCTCCTCTGGAGACCACAACTCTACCCTTTCTGAATATCCACTATGGCTACGAAAGTCCTTTTTCTGTATCTGCCAGGACTCTCAACCTCACTGAGCAGTTCTCTTGGATCCCTGTCATTTGATGTGAAGGACAGCATTCCTGGAAAGGTATATGAATAAGAGAAATCATAGTCCTCTCTGCCAGTCTAAAATCCTTTCAACAAAACTCAAGTGATCCATTTGGATCTCTGGACTCTCTTGGATTCCCTGCAACACATTGATGGCGCTGGTTGTTGCTGGGCAGGTTCTATTTTCTCTGAGTGTATCTGGCAAGTATTTCTAGTTCCTCCCTTTAAAATAGTTACTTCTCACACATTGATCTCAGTTTTGGGGATTCAGCCAACATTTCAGGATACTGGGAAAAGTTCTACTAAACAACCTGCTACCTAAGAAAAAATGCTATTTTTAAGCTTAAGAATCTTCAAGAAAATTGGAGAACACAATTTCAAATCCTTCAAAAGAAGCAAGGCAAGTCATAAAATCAAAGTTTAGCTTAGCCAGATCTTAGATATTATGGCTTTCTCATTACCTATGAAGATAACAAATTCCACAAATGATAATTGACTTGCCCAAGGTGATGGCTATAAGTTCTTAAAAATAATGTTGGGACTACCTATAGATACCTCACCTGATGAATGCTCAGGTGATATAAAATGTTTTTTCCTTCACTGTGATGCTTCTCTATTATTATCATCCTCATTTTTATTATCGGGCTTACTGGAAAGATTTTGTGGCTGAACAATATTTTAAGATATTAAGATAATGGTAAAATATATTCACCTGGAACTTAATAAACCCAAAGTGACAGAAAACTTTACATATTCTTTATTTTGCCTTTATGAGAAAGAGATAAGTGACATTTAAAGAAATTGATATCAAGAACTTATCCAGAAAAGTTTTCAAGGTATATCATTTCTTGATGAAACTGATCAATATAGTCTTGGCCCATTTAAAAACTGAAATAATAAGTCTATTTCTGTTTCCCTTTTTTTTTAAGTTACAAAGAATTTTCCACACATCATCTAAAATTCTATACTGAGAAGTGGGGCTATATTAATGACCCTGAAGTATTGTGAGTGCCTTGAATTATTAAAGGAAAATAGACTTTTGTTCTGTATAATTTTGTGTTAAGTGAGTTATTTAGAAATAATCCTTCCACATGTGCTAGCTTAGGTAAAAATTCTCAGCTAGCTAGAATGTTTCAACAGTTGAAGAACTTTACCTCCCAGCCATTTTGAGCATTGGATTGCTTTTCCATTGTACTTATGGTGGGCAGACAGTGTTGCCTGAGACAAAATCCCCAAATCCTTTCTTTCAAAACCTTAAATTATAAAAAAAACCTTATATTATGTTCCAGAAATTTATCCTAAGAGAACAATTAGACCAGTGTACAAAGCTGCTTTAAAATGATATGCAGTGCAATTACCTTCTAATTTTCAATATTAAGTAACAACCTCAACATCTAATAAAATGAGAATGGACCCAAACATATCACAATAAAATAGAATTTTGTAAGTTAATAAAATTGTGATGTAGGACACAACTTATTACATCTGAATATGTTAATGCTATTTTGTTTAGTGAAAGATCCAGGCCTCAGGGTGTATGCTAAAATCACCATTTTGATTTAAAAATTTTATGTATATGTTTGTTTGTGGGTTCTAGCAAGAACATTGCTCACACCTTTGTTTGCTGTTCCTGAGAATCTGTGTGAGCAGGTGAGAGCGGTAAAATATACATGACCGATTCATGTTTTGGGCTGAAAAGGGGGTAAGACATTTTGGTGATGAGGTACCCACAGAGATGAGGGGAAAATGATGATTTCAATGACACAGACTCTGTTCCAAAACCCCACCGGACAACCTGGTTTTGAAAGAAAATGTAGGGAGAGAGACTGAAAGCTGTATCGACAAAAATTGCCCGTCACTAAATACACACCATGCATCTGGACTAGGGAAAACAAGGCTTTAGAGATTTTGGGGAAAGGCACTGTTCCACGCTGACCTCAACCACCAGTTTCCAGCCAGTAGAACTGTTCCATGAAGGGCAGTGGCCACTGGGTGGGAAGGAAGCTGCAGCAAAGAGGAGTGTGTTCCCAAGTCTAGGTAAAAATGTGCCATCACCCAAGAACCCTGGAAGGTACTCCAATACGCCCTGAGTTGGAGCTAAAGTCAGGAATCTGTCACAGATTGTGTCTTAATCTACTGCAGGATTTCTTGGTCTCAGTACTATTGACATTTGGGACCAGGTAGAGTTACAGGGCCGGGAAAGGGGCACCTCAGACCCCGCAAACCTGCCTGTTCTAAATAGGTTCTGCCATCCACCACATCAACACAAAACATGTAAGACTTCAATGGGAATGAGCTTCAACATAATTAGTAAACAATATAGAAAAGACAAAGAATATAGTTTCTAAATCAAGCACCCAAAGTTACCTGTCCCCTCTTGGGTAAAAGTCCACCCAAATGGTATGGGCCCAAAGCAAGGAAGGCCCAAAAGCCTGCCACAAGTCCAAAGCACCTTTCAGTGGGGACCCACAGAAAAGCAGTAGAAACAACCAGACAAGTCTAGAAAGAAAAGAGCAAAATCAAAATCAAGATAAAACTTGCCATTGTCACCTCCCCACGGGTCTCACCCACATCTGTGTCACCCAGTCCACGACCAAAAGGCAAACGCAGTTTCTTCATGTGTCTCTCTTCATGTGCCTCCCCCAGGTCTCCTTCTAGCTCCATCCTGCTTCCTTCCTTCCTTCCTCAGTCTCTTCTCCAGCTTCTTCTTCTCCCTGCTCAGCTCCACCCTCCCTTGGGTGGGGCAGGGAACCTGGAAACTCCCCCTTTCCTAGGGACCACCCTGTTACAATAGGACATTGCTGGGGGCATCCTGTATATTGGAAAATGTTTGGTAGCATTTCTGATTTCTACCCACCCAATGCCAGTAGCAGTCTCTCCCCCACATTTGTGACCAAAAAGCACCTCTAGATTTTGTCTGTCTTCCTCTGGGGGGCAAAACCTCCCCAGGCAGAGAACCACTGATATAATGGAATTGCAACTGCAGTCAAGATTGGTGACAATTGTTGCATGATAATAGCTAACATTTTTTGAGTCTTACAATGCTCTGGGCCCTATGCACTTTATATTTTGAATTTGTGGAATGCTCCTAACTCAGTGAGGTAGGTTTTGTACTGACTGTCATTTTGAGGAAACAAAAGCACTGTGGAGAAAACTAGCTGCCTCAAGCTCACACTGCTAAGACAGGATGGAGCTGGAGTAGAAACCAATGCTGTTTGAATCAAAGACCTCCCAACAAAAGGCTAACAATGGCAGTTCAACTGTTTTCCAATGGAAGAAATCACTTTTATAAAAATATATTAATAATTATTTAGAAAGTGATTCCATTAGATCCAGTGCTGCAGGACTCCTGGGAGAAGCCAAGTTTAAAGGTGTTTGGTGAGCATATCCCAGTAGAGAGCCCAGTGGGCCTCTTAGTACACAATCCCAAGAAAAGATCAAGATGGCCAACACAGTTTTAAAACACAATGGAAGACAGGCTTGACCAAATATGCACTCATGTTCTGCCAAGTTCAGATTTCATTTCTCTCCTATCATGTATGTGAATTTGGAGTCCACCAGCTACACACAGGCACACACCGGAAGGCAGGCAAAGGTCAACTTCTCACCTCCAGCAGGCCAGGGTGTGTGTGGGGGGGTGGGGGATGGGGGAGTGTCTATAATGCTGCTCCAGCTGGAAGCACAGGCTCTGAGAAACAAAGGGCCAAGGCCCACAAACTGGTACCACATCTTGCACATTTGTCAAGTGCTGGCTAGGGCAGACTTTTGGTTAGTGATTCCCACTGAGGCTGCGGCTGGCAGCAGAGCGCTTAGCAAAGCCTGCCTGTCAGTCACTGCTTATGCTCATCCCTTAATGGCTCTTCCCTTGTCATTTGCCTGGTGTCGCTTTTATCTTAAGTGAATTTAACAATGGTGAAAGGTGCCTGTCTGGAGTCCCCAGGGAGGAGCTTTGCCGGAAAAGCAATTGGAACAAAAGTTTCCCCCATCAAATCTCCTCTGCAGCCCCACCCTGGAGTAAGTAACCCCAGGGCTGGGGGGTACCCCAGGGGGCCAGATGGAACCAGCCCAGCATTTCCCACAGCTCAGCAGGCATCCTTAAGGAAAGCCAGCTGCATGCAGGTCTGCAAAACGAGAGACATCTTGCAATTGCTTTTTCCTTAATTTCCACACCCAGGAGTATTTCAGGAGGAATTTAATCTCTATGTTTCTGGTTCATTTACACTTAACTTGTCACGGGATTCTTTCCAAATTGCCATTTGGTGCCCAAGAGAACTTATGAGCTTCTTAAACATATATCCATCTTTTTAAAAAAAAATTTTTGTACTAGCCAGGCTCAGACCAATATCTAAGTGATACAGGAACATGAGATGGGTTTAGGTTTCAAACCCAGCTAGTTTGCTAAGAATGCTTCTGTGACAGCCCACCAAACAGATCAGTAGGTGACAGGTGAACACAGGTATCAGTTTGACCTCTCAGGGGCAGAGAGTTGAAGTTGTGTGTGAAACGAGTGAGCAGGAGAGGGAGAAAGAGAGGAAGCAAGGAAATGAAGAGCGAGACGGAAGGTGTAATAACTTTAGTTACCTTGTCTGACTTCTTACTGTCGTCTGGCTTCTGTCAAAGTGCTTTGGATGTGAGCTCTTACAGCCATCCTGTGGCAGGTTGCCAGGGGGCCAGTTGACCCAGGAAATGCCCGTTTCATAGATGAATGGGCTCATGCTTAGCAATTACGTAAATTGTCCAGTTCACACAGGTAGTCACTGAGCATGCACAGCTGAATCCAGTTCCATCTGAGTTCAAATTCTCCACACTAAAATGAGGAGGGGAGAGGGGGCAGCTCTGGGCCCCATCCTTCTCTTATGCAAATGTACCAGGATAGGCCATCATGGCCTCTTTCTGTTTCATTCCTTACACCCGCAGAAATCATGTAGGACTGAGGGCGAACCTGGCTGATTTCCATGCTCTCGTGCGGCTCTGCTCCCATCACAGGAAGGGCTTCCTTTGGCTACTGCTGTCAGCCTCTGAATTTTACTCACCTGGGAAACCCAGCTGGGTGTCAGGCCAGGAAGGGCTGAGTCTCCTTATTTCTGGGTGAAACTCCCAAAAGGAGCTGAAGATAAATAATTTCTTAGGCACTGAGGTGAGATATTTCTAGATGAACTTGTATTTTTATGACAAAACTCCTTTATATATTCTGGAAACTAACCAGAAACACCAGGATGTGTATGCTTGTGCATGTGCCTATAGTGTGGTGTGCTTGTTCGGTGTGTGCATGTGTGGCACTTATGTGTGTATAAATGCAGGTGCATGCATGCACATGCATATGGTGTGTACACCAGTTGTGTGTGTGCACTGTATGCGCCATATGTACATGTGAGTATGTATGCCCGTGTGCATATCGGCAGGATATCTGTGGGAGCAGAGGACAGTTTTCAGCTCTACCAGACCCCTAGTTTTCTCATCTCAGTCAAGACTAGTTTGCTTGGGGTCTCTCTTCCCTCTCCATTCATGCATTTCATGCAGTGCTGAGGACCTCTGATGGCAAGACTGTTGTACTTGATATGAAATATACCACAGAGAGGAAGACACTATCACATGCATTCATTTTGGTTATTTTTATCCAGCATCGCTGCCTCTAGTGCAGTTAACACAGATGGTCCTAGACATCCCTAGGGTTGGGGGAACTCACAGTCTCCCCGGTTCTTCTCTCTCATCTACTGAAGTGTACATATGAGGTAAAACAGGAATTTAGCAAGAAGTTGGAGCCCTTCCCTCCCCACCATCTGTTAACTCTGGAAAAAGTGCCTTTGCATATTCCAGAGCAAGGTAACCCCAAACCCTACTAGTTTAGGCCATTTATTTCACATACCCGCTGGGTGCCATCATGGTGAAATTTCCACTCTTACTTGATGAAGAAGAATGTTATGGTGCAGTGGTCTTGCATACAAAGCTGGTCAAAACATGTGCAGGACCCTATCTGTGAGCCCCTGCCCCCTCAAACTATATGTGTATCAGCAGCCTTAAGACCCAAGGGGTGATCCCTCTGGAATTTGCCTGCACTCACTGTTGAGTGTGGACTCTCATCTGCAGTAAAGCTTCACTTCTAACTCACCTACTCTGACTTCTGCATGAATGCTTTCCTGCAACAAAGTCAAGAACCTCCAGAGTCTGTCAGCACCCCCAGCCCCATCACATGGGCACTCACTTTTAATTCAAGAAGGATGCCCCATTAAATTCATAAGTGTGGAACTCCCAAAAGAGATGACAAAAAGTGCCAGTGAAGAGACAACCAGGGTGCATAAGGATCTCAGAGTATCGGGACAATAGTCCTGCCTCCAGACAAAGGCAGTGTGTGTGCCATGCCTGAGGACAGAGAAATCTGAAGAAAGGGAAAAGGGGAAATGCACCCAAGTCAGAGCCTTTCCCTGGATCCCCAGGATTCATAAGTACTTTGTATCGCTAAAGCATGGAAGATGATGTGTCTCCATCCACACCCAGGAGTTGATGTTGGTGACCGAGGTTGTCAAGAATGGAAGACACCTAAGGGGAGGGAAAGATGCTTCAAGAGGCAGCAGCTACTTGAAAGCCCCTGGCATATGGATCTCTCACCATAATCACTAGCTTTGCCTTTCCTGTTTTACATGGGCTTATCGTGTTTCCACACATCACGCTCTACTCATCAGCCTCCATAGATACCGCCTTCTCTGCATCATGAGGTCTAAAATCAGGGCAGCCTCAACATTTTTTTCATGTTTACACTCTACATCTACCCCAAAATTGCGTAAACACTCCATTCTATTAAAACTGACACATTTTCTGCCCATTTTTTGACTGGATTATTTTCTTTGTTGAGTCTCATCATCTCTGTAGATTTTGTGATCAGTCCTTTATCATTAGTGTTGCATGCAAAAATGTTCTCCCAGTAGGTGGGGTGGACACAGAAACATTAATTCCAAAGGGCACCTGCACCCCTATGTTTATAGCAGCACTATTTACAATAGCTAAGCTATGGAAACAACCCAAATGCCCAAAAATAGATGACTGGATCAAGAAGATGTGGCACATACACACCATGGAATATTATTCATACTCAGCGAAATAAGCCGGGAAGAAAAAGAAAAGTACTGGATGGTCTCACTCATAGCAAGAATTGAAAACCTAAATAAGGGACCAGGAAAAAGTAATTATAATAAAGAAAAAATCAAAATCAACAAGCAACCATAAACCAGAGACACTCTACGGTGGGGGGGGAGAGGGGAGGAGGGATTAGGGTCAAAATAAGGGGGGTGGGAATTGTATGGGGAATATAATCAAGATGAAAATGCATACATTGTGCAAAAACGAAAAATGATATAAGAATTATATAAAATAAAAGATATTTTAAAAAAAGAATGTTCGGGGAAAAAAATAAAACTGACACATTTGTCACATAGGGTGACCATTGTCCCAGCCATCCCAGACTGAGTGGTGTCCCAGGCCACAGGATTTCAGGGCTAGAACCAGGAAAGTACTGTGCAGACAGGAATGAGTAGGTTTCCCTGTCTAAGTCATTGTTGGAGGAACACATGTTGAGTTTTTCTGCTCCCCTACTGCTCATGCTCCTCTTGCTTGGTGCAGCACTTTTTAGTTCCCACCTATTAGAGATTTACTCATCTGCTAAAGTCTAAATCAAATTCTAGCTCCAGGATGAACC